AGTTCAGTTCTGGTTCAGTTCTGGTTCAGGCTCAGCAAAACTTGAAAACAACAACTAAAGTTCAAAGTCAAGTTTGGTTTTGGTTAACTCCACAAGTAGAATTACATCGAAGATAAATTCAAGCAAAACGTGTACCCTTTTAGTCTAGTTCTTTGTGATAAATTCAGGAATAAACAGAATACTTAATCTTATTCTTGCAGCTGAATGCAGCACTGCATGAACCAACAGCAGTAACAATTATATAAATTAAGTAGTAAAGAGCTGTCATATCAAAGTAGCTACTATGTTTCTAAATTAATTCAGGTCTCCTAAACAAAACTCTGTTAAGAAAAACAAAAACCCAAATAATAGAACAAAACCAACCAAACAAGGAAAAAAAAAAGGGGGGAGGGGGGAATAAAATGATTACTTTGAGGGAGATGAATATTCAGTATCATTTTGTCATTAAAATGCATATACAGAGAGAGCACCTGAGGACTGCAGACTAACCCTAACGTTATCATTACCTAACCTGTGATTCTTTACATCTGGGATCTAACTATCACCTCCAAATTCCTAAAAGCTGAAGAAAGTGAGGAAAATACCTCCCAAATTCCACAATATGCCACAGTAGCAATCCACATATAGCCATCATCTGTCGGGGAGATCCTTAACCCCCACCACTGCTACTTAAATTGCCCCAGAGAGAGACAAGTTGTCACCACCTGCCTGGTCCTGCCCTCAGAAGGAGTGAGCCCCGCGTTTTGCCCCCAGTGCCTCAGGCAGTGGGTGTCAGCCCTGGGTGGGTAGGGGTGACCTGCCTTCCCACCCCCAGCCCCTGGGCACCCCTGAGGACTCCCGTACCCTCTTCTCCCTTTTCATTGCTTCTGCACCTTCACCCTGGAGCCTGGCTGGGGCAAACAAAACTCAGTCGCGATCTTCTGAAGGAACTCCCGTTGGCCAAACAAAGCCTAAAGTTCTCAGTCTCATCATTTGTCCAAATTTGGAGTGGATTTTTCAAGTGGACAGAAGCCGCACGCTCCTGACAATGAGAGGACTCGGTGCCAAAACTCAAGCCTTTGGTCTGAAGCTTGAACTTTTTAACTGATTTTGCTGAAATCTTCCAAAATAATTCAGTATGAGGTGGATACTTGGTAAAGAGAGTTTGTAACTTGGATCAATCAAAAGAAATCAGTTCCTATGAATGGTTCTAGTTAGGCCTGTAACTAGTAAGACAACAGAAACAAATAATACAAGAGATGATCACTCAGTGACTCATGATCTTTCCCTATAAGAGTTGGAATTGACTCTGATAAACTTTTTTTTTATACATCATCTTGGGATAAAAGTGGTTAAAAGGGGAAGTGACAATCACAAGGAAGTAACAGTAAAAACCAGTGTCAGGTTTTGGCAAGCTGAATTGAAGAGATGAGGTTGGTATTTGGCTTGGGCATCTCTAATTGTTACAACTAGTATCAGCTCGGTCCAGAGATTTAGAAACAGTGATGGCCACGTCTGCAAATCTCTTGGTTTTAGCAAACAGCCTGACTAGTCCACCAGAACATACCTTGCATCAGAAGTCAGGAAGGTCATGAGGGAAGGCATCCAATGCTGGCAAAAAGAACTGCAGTTAAGAGGGCTGAACTGTCAATACAGAGACCGTATTTGGACACCGCACTCCTTGGGAGCCAGGGTGCTCCAGAAGGGTTTGTTTGTGATGATCGGTGTTGCTAGGCAGATGGACAGCTACAGCTTGTACCCACGGGAGCTTTTTCTGGACATGAGACTTCAGTTCCTAGAAATGAGTAACTGAAGCACCTTTAAAAAAGTTTCTCAAGAATGATAAACACTTGATTGTGAAGGCGATGGCAGAAAAAGCTGCACCTGCACCGAAGGCAACCATACTGTCTAGGCTAATATTTTTTATTTCAAGTTCTCCTTTGTTGCAGTAAAAAATAAAAATAAAAACCAATCCCTCTTTACCTACCTCACAGTAACTAATAACAGTAATTAGCTACATGAGGCATAGTACTAACATTCAGTAAAGTTAAGTGGTCCTTTCTCTTTACACTGACCACTTTCATCCTCTCTTCTCTGAAACAAACACCCTGCAGACTGTGGGATGACTTAGCTCACTTTTTTTCCCCAAAAGATGCTCCTCATTACAAGACCGTGCACTTTTTCTTTTTTGGCCAAGCTTTCCATAAGCATTCGAGCAGGAAGGAGGCACAACGATGAGGTGGCCTTCGGCACCGAAGCGTGTGTAGGGGGCGAGGAGCAATAGGACGGAACCATCTCGGCTTCACACAGGACTGAATGCAGGCTCGGAGCACTGCAGGCTGCTTCGTGTGCCGTGCGTGCTTCCCTCCTGTCACCTCTAGAGCCCCTTCGTGCCCAGGAAGGGTCTTTCTGCACGCTGTCGCTAGGGCATGGCACTCCCAGCGCTGACACGGGCTGGACTTTTTTCTTTTAGCTGCGTGAAGCTAAAGAAAATGTATCTTTGGATTACCTCTTCTAAATAGTGATCTTTAAAAAACTCAGTTATTTATACTAGGCAATAAAATTAAAATACAGAGGGACTAGGGCATGGCACTCCCAGCACTGACACGGGCTGGACTTTTTTTTCTTTTAGCTGCGTGAAGCTTAAGAAAATGTATCTTTGGATTGCCTCTTCTAAATACTAATCTTTAAAAAACTCAGTTATTCATACTAGGCAATAAAATTAAAATACAGAGGGCTTTAGAGTCCTGGAAAGGTTTATGAATTTTCTACTGTCTTCTGGACTCATTTACATTACGTGTTTTCTCTGCAAACAGCAATGAAGATGCTAGGGGACTCGTCTTCAAGCTCCAGTCAAGAGAGCCAACTCTAGCAATCAGGCTTCAAAAATCCATAACACTACGAACGAACAGTTCCCCGAATGTCTGTCTTGGGCCATCTAAAGGCTTCTTGGAGGACAGCCTTCCACAGACAGATTTGTCCTGACCCTTCAGCTGTGCACTTTAGGCACGTTGCTAAAGCAGAGCCAGCTTACAGCAGCCTGACAGTCCGCTTCCAGATTTCCTTCTTCAGGCTTTCAGTGTTTCTGTTATTTTGATTGCTAGTACTCAAAAACCAGAAGCCTATCACAATCCCCTGCCACCACACCAACCTATTGTTTAAGAGTGAATTAAGGAACCTTTTAAAACGAGGTAAGAATGGTGTTGCTTGACTCTGAAGCTGGCTTGCGCTTTTAACATCTCAATGAAATGGCTGCCCTCACTTTTTAACAGGGTAGGAATAACGACTTTAGAAAAGCATTAAAATTCATAACTAGATACACGCTTCATAGGTTTCCTTTGGGACTTGAGGTACAGCTGACAGGCAATTTCTGCTCCCACTGAAGTCACAGGAACAAGATCCACATCTGTAAGAGCCGGAAGCATTTCTCTCCGTAGGAAAGCCAGGAGCACACACATCAGCCGGGCACCCGCCACGTTTCCCAGACCAGCCTATTTCTCTGCTTCGGGTTCTTAAGGCAGATTTTCTCCCTGTAGGTTTTTAACGAGGCATTGCCTTCTTACGTTTAATCAACCAAGTTGCAGACAACTAGGAGGGGAGAGGCTGGAATGTATTTTGAAATTCAATATGCTGAATCATACCTGTGATTATAACAGAGGCAAATCCAGTCTTTATATATACATATATCTATATACACACACACATACACGCATATATACACACCATACACACATATATACACACATACATATGTATGTTCTCATGACTGTAAGGCCTATTTAAGACTAATCCTCTTCAGCCTAGTCAGAAGTATACAGACTGCAAAATAAAGTTTGTAAATTTTAATAAGGGAGGGCGGCGGGGCTTCAGAGGGGAAGGAAGGAACGAGGCCCCCAGAGACATGGCAGTTTGGACATCACCCATAGGACGGTGTCGCTTCAGTGTTTGTACTTGTGTATTACACTGGTACAGTAAGCAGGTGCGGCCACTTGCTGTTACAGAGTCTCTTTCCGTTTTCTGTGCTCTGCAAGAAACCTGAAAGTGTCCTAAGATGTTGTTTGTACCCGGTAGGAAATCTCCTCTTGGGTAAGAGGAGGTTCTTCTTCCCTGCCGATAAGGACTTGGGGGTACTTGTGAATGAAAAGCGGCAGTGTGTGCTCACAGCCCAGAAGCCAACCACATCCTGGGCTGCATCAAAAGCGGCAGGGTGGAGGGAGAGGATTCTGCCCCCCTGCTTTGCTCTGGTGACACCCCACCTGGAGTACTGCATCTCAGCACAGGGGAGACATGGACCTGTTGCCACCCAAATGATCAGAGGGCTGGAGCACCTCTCCTGTGAAGACAGGCTGAGAGAGTTGGGGTTGTTCAGCCTGGAGAAGAGAAGGCTCCGGGGAGACCTTATTGCCGTTTTTCAGTACTCAGAGGGGCCTCCAGGAAAGATGGGAACAAACTTTGTAGCAGGGCCTGTTGCAGTAGGACAAGGGGTAATGGTTTTTAACCAAAAGATTGGAGTTTTAGACTAGATATAAGGAAGACATTTTCTACCATGAGGGTGGTGAAGCACTGGTATAAGCTGCCCAGAGAGGTGGTAGATGCCCCATACCTGGAAACATTCAAGGCCAGATTGGATGGGGCTCAGAGCAACCTGATCTAGTTGAAGATGTCTCTGTACATTGCAAGGGGACTTGTCTAGATGACCTTTAAAGGTCTCTTCCAACTCAAACTATTCTATGATGTGGTACTTAAGCAAAAGCGGATTATTTTTTTATATTTTTTTTTTCACTGTGCAGGAGCCTGGTTTCCCCCCCCTCACGCCCCCCCTGCCCCGTCCCCGTTGCTATGACTACCCGGAAGCGGGCGGAGCCGACCGGGAAGCGGAGTCACCCGAGTGAGAAATGACGCCACGCAGTAACCCGGATGTTCAAGGCCTGTCCGCCCCCGCGCGGCGGAAGCGGGTGGCTGGGGGACGGGCCCTCCCTCCCTCCCTCTGCCAGCCAGGTCATGTGACGGGGGAAGGGGTGGGGGGGGGGCGCTGGCCGCCGCCACGTGACGGCGCGCGCGGCAGCCGCCATGGGGACGGCGCTGGACATCAAGATCAAGCGGGCCAACAAGGTGTACCGCTGCGGGGTGAGTGCCGGCGCGCGCGGGCGGCCGTTAGGGCCGTTAAGTAATAAAATAAAAAAAGTATGAATTTCAAGATTTCTCTCCCATTGTTACTCTGCGCCCCCCCCTCCTCACGCCCCCCCCTGCCCCGTCCCCGTTGCTATGACTACCCGGAAGCGCTTCAGAGGGGAAGGAAGGAACGAGGCCCCCAGAGACATGGCAGTTTGGACATCACCCATAGGACGGTGTCGCTTCAGTGTTTGTACTTGTGTATTACACTGGTACAGTAAGCAGGTGCGGCCACTTGCTGTTACAGAGTCTCTTTCCGTTTTCTGTGCTCTGCAAGAAACCTGAAAGTGTCCTAAGATGTTGTTTGTACCCGGTAGGAAATCTCCTCTTGGGTAAGAGGAGGTTCTTCTTCCCTGCCGATAAGGACTTGGGGGTACTTGTGAATGAAAAGCGGCAGTGTGTGCTCACAGCCCAGAAGCCAACCACATCCTGGGCTGCATCAAAAGCGGCAGGGTGGAGGGAGAGGATTCTGCCCCCCTGCTTTGCTCTGGTGACACCCCACCTGGAGTACTGCATCTCAGCACAGGGGAGACATGGACCTGTTGCCACCCAAATGATCAGAGGGCTGGAGCACCTCTCCTGTGAAGACAGGCTGAGAGAGTTGGGGTTGTTCAGCCTGGAGAAGCGAAGGCTCCGGGGAGACCTTATTGCCGTTTTTCAGTACTCAGAGGGGCCTCCAGGAAAGATGGGAACAAACTTTGTAGCAGGGCCTGTTGCAGTAGGACAAGGGGTAATGGTTTTTAACCAAAAGATTGGAGTTTTAGACTAGATATAAGGAAGACATTTTCTACCATGAGGGTGGTGAAGCACTGGTATAAGCTGCCCAGAGAGGTGGTAGATGCCCCATACCTGGAAACATTCAAGGCCAGATTGGATGGGGCTCAGAGCAACCTGATCTAGTTGAAGATGTCTCTGTACATTGCAAGGGGACTTGTCTAGATGACCTTTAAAGGTCTCTTCCAACTCAAACTATTCTATGATGTGGTACTTAAGCAAAAGCGGATTATTTTTTTATATTTTTTTTTTCACTGTGCAGGAGCCTGGTTTATGAACTTTTTTCACTGATGTTGTTGATAGTGATAAAGTGATTGTGCAAACTTCGGTTTTTACAGCTACTTTAAAAAATACTGTGCCTTTTTTCATTGTTGGGGACTTCAAGTGCAGTTAGGAAAAAAATGAAAATCACTGTTTAAAATATCACTGTTTTTCTAGAAATATTGTACTGTTAAAGCAGAAATTTTCAGGGTTTTGGTTTTTTTTGGTTATTGCTATCCAGCCACACGCTTGTACTATAAAAATCCTTTTCACACACTTTTCCCATACATTAGTAGTTAGGCTGTTACAGTGTATAAAGCATATTTCAATTTATTGAATGTTTTTAATTCTGGAAAACTACTTTAAATGGATTTGAATGGAAGGTTATGCAGCATCTGTTCTGCAATTATCAAGTCATCTAGGTAACAACTTTCATAAAGCTGAATTTTCAGTTTGTGAACAACACATCCTTTTAAGTATGGCATCATAATGGTAAAGACTACTTTCTGTACTCGCTTTCACATTGTTTGGTAATGCACATTATTAGAAGGATCTTATTTATTTCAGCATCACGATGCTGTACCCATTTTCAGTTTCTACACTTGGCTTGCTTATGTCACTTTAAACTGGATTATTTTTTTTATACAGCAAAGGGATATTTCTTCTGTCTTTAAGCTGAAATTAAATAAGATATTTATGGTTAGTAAATCTGTCAGTATTGTTTGTTTGCTTCCACTTTAACTCCATATGAAAGGGTTTACAATTTTAGTTTGTTCACTAGGCTTCAACTTTGGAGGTCTGAGTAGCATGAAAACACAACGATGAAAGAACTGTACACTAGAAGTACAACATGAGTTCTTAATATAAATTTGGTAGGGGCAGAAAAGATTTACAGGTCTCTCTTTAATTAGGCATGGAATATATACAGGTTTGGGTTGGGTTTTTGTTTTCATGTTTTCTTTAGAAATTTACTGATTGTTGTGTACTTCAGTGGCAGTAGCTATGCTAGTAATACCTTCAATCTGTGGCAAATTTCATCCCAAAATATGCTTGCATCAAAGCAACTTGAAAATTAAGAGATTCCTTTAGTAAAGACAATAGTTCACCCCAATGTGTACGTCTAGCTATTCATTTGAATGCAGTAGGGCTAGACTTGATCTTTTGTTTTCTAAATTTACTTAAAGCTGCATTTGGATATGGAAGCAGGTGGTATCTAAATTATGCACTGGTATAATAGTCTTTTTGATATGCCTATTACATTATAATAACGCAAAAAATTGCTAAAACATTATTGAGCTTTCCAAGTCATAATTTGCCTGAGACCATGATTAATGCAGCATAACTCCACAACTCTACTAGCCTCCCTAGTTTCTGCCACCTTTCTTGTGCTGACAGTGTTGGAAATGGATGGTCTTTGGTAAACTTGACGCTCAAAAAAAAGTAAATAATAATTTAAAAATCCATCTGTTGAATCATGGACATCCTATTTTGTTTTTCTTATGAATGCCTTCTCAAGTAGAGTCAGAGAACATTTAACAATCAGTATCAGAATGGTCCTGTGCTGAGTGGCCTACAGAAGAGAGATTAGACATAGCGGAGCATCTCCAACAGAGCAGGAAATTGGACGAACGAAATAAAGTTGGGTGTATCATGAACAGTCTGTAGGCAGTGATTTGAGGTGATACTAGACCAAAGAACTGATAATGGCAGTGGCTGTTGATTCTTGCATTCAAGGTCAGGTTTTGTATCTCTTGAGAGTGCATAGTCCAGGTGAAATATTCAGGTATTTTTAGCAATCAGCATCGTCAATCTGTTGCTTCTGTGTTGACTGTTCTTTTTCAGTTGGGAGAAACTAGACACAAAATTTGTAAAATAGTGGTGCATCATACAAGCCGGAGATTGTGTTCCTGTTTTTAAAAAGTAAGCTGGTTAAAATAACATGCTGTGATAAACAGTAAACAATTTCTGTATTTATTAATTACAGTCATCAGAAACTAGCGGAACTAAGCCAAAACCTTTATTTTGTCCGGACTTCAATTTGAGAAAAGCTGGCTTAAACAAACTACTTTTAATTGTGAATAAAAACCAAGTTCTCTGCATCTTGGCCCAAAAGTGTAGTAGCATTGTTTAAAAAAATAATAATAAAAAGAAGTGTTAGGGAATTTAAGAATAAAAAGACAATAAAATGGATCCTAATAGTATGTCCTATAATAGCAAAATAGGGCTTATTGCATTAAAACTCTCTTTAAATTCCTAGGAACGGAAGATCTGCATTCAGAAGACTTTTTTTTTTTTTTTTTTTTTTTATTGTGAGCCACACCAAATCAACAGGCATGCTTCTTGGTCCCTCCTGTTTCTTCATCATTCATCATCTTTCTCTTCTTTGATCTGGTTTTGCAACTGGTGCTTTGCTAGTTATACTTCAGCTTTAAGCCATCCCTCTTGTCCCTGGGCTGACTTTTGTATTAATTTCC